TAAAATTATAGCCAATAAGACTTTTGATCCCTTAAACAACCAACAATATGTAGACGAAATTTTAATATTTTCTTAAAAAATATTTGTACTTTAATATTATTATTACATTACTAAATATTAATACTTTCAATTTCAAAAATAGTTAAAAATAGGACTATTTCAATTTTATTGCACCTAAGTAAATATTTAAATATATAAGAGACAATTGATTAAAAATTTAAGTCATTGAAGTTTTCTAAACTTTTTTAAAAAATTTCTAAACGCACCCACTTTTTTTTTCAAACAAATTTCTACAATTTAAAAAATTGGGTTTTCATAATAGACGTGTAAAAACGCTATTACACAAAATTCATCAGATATTTGTCTGTAAAACTTGCACATTATTTTTGTCTATTACAATGCATTTTGCTAAATTTTTGGTTTTACTTTTACCCATGCAATGCGCATTCCCATGCATTTTCCAACAGTTGACCATTCGAATCCTAAACCAATGGAACACTATCAAGCCTTAGGCCACACGCAAAATGTTATTTAAAATCTAGTCATGTGCATAGCAAGTGTTGCATTTTTATCATTAGATATAATTTGAATAAAAGCATTAATTGTTCTCGTATGTCATAGACACTAAAGTCGTGCTTAAAATACATTAAGGGAAAATATTCATGGTATGATCTGGGGACATGTAGATTTCTCAGGAATCGAGAAACGTGCTGCAAAAGTAAATAGTTGAAGAAATCTTTGAATTATTTGAAGGTAAAAAAAGGAGATATACTTGTTCATGTGGAAATAAAAACAGCTGGGGGTACAAATTGATTTTTACCCAACTCGTATTGTTTTTTTAGGGCTTGCTAATTTTATAAGCATTGCTTTATTAACAATACACAGTTGTTGGCATCATTTAATTTTCGATTTCTGATTGGGTAATCATCCAAAACTATAAAATAAGATACAATACAATAGGATGGGTTATGATAACTAAGGTTTTAATTCTTTAAAAATTAAGTCAATAATGTTTCAACATTACAATTTTCTGCAAGATTCAAAGACTCTCACAATAATAAAATAATAAAATATTAGTAATAAAAAATAAAATAAAATAATAATAATAAAATTTATTGATTGTTAATACGATTTGAAATTAAATTAATTATTGGAACTAATAAGTTCACATAAGATTCATAGTCAATTTCAAAATGATGGTGAAAATGATGCTCAAAGTAATAGTTAATTTGGGATGTTTATTTTTGAAATTTTGATGATTAATGAAAATCTAAATTTTAAATTTAAACCACCGAATAATAAAATGAAATAAATAATAAAACCTGTTAATTTAATTACGTCGTTAAGAAATATTAAATGCTATGGTTCAATTAATGATATTAATATATGCAACTAACGTTTGTAAAATATGAAAGGCTAAATTAGAATGCAAATCCAAAAAAATATTAGTATTATTAGTAGTAAACTATATAATTAAATAAGTAATAAAATTATCGTGCGCTGTTTTCTTGGACATTTATTACACCTGAATATGAGCTACCATCTTAGCTTTGAGAATATTATTATTTGATTTTGAATCGAGCAATCTTTCAAATATTTAATTATAGTTCGAGTATTGAAGCAAAAATTGAACTACAAATATGTAATCGATATGAGAGTCGATTCACTAAAAAAATTAAACATCAAATTTGGTTCTTCAGCAATTATTATAGAGTTTCTAGTTTTTTTCCGTTAAAGATAATTTTTTCATGAATAATTTGTTTTCGTTACTAATTCTATTTCATCTGGATCAATCGATCGAACAAGTGCAGTCTTAATACTTATCACTTATGGTTATAAAACACTCAACTGTTTATGGAGTAAATCTTATATCCAAATAATTGTTTTGCAATGTAGGAACGGGAACTACGGACAAAATGACATGGTGTTTTGTTTTTTAATTGTATTTATTTATTTGATGATATCATAACCAGTCTCAATCGTTTTCATTCGTCTTAGATTCATTGAATACCTTTTAATCAAGTATGAATTATAATAACATATTAATTGATAAAAAATGCAACTAATTCATAGACCTTATACTACATAAAGTATAAAGTAGTATGAGGTCTATGAACTAATTACAAAAACCATTTTGTCTATATAGTACGGATAAAATGACATAAGTAAAAGAAATACTGAGAATCTAATTTTCAAAAAGACAGTTAACGAGTAAATTTTTTGGTTTACTTTGGGACATCAGCACATGACACATGATACTAAAGGGAACCAATCATAAATCGTAACCAATTTTTGCAGGGCTCAGAACGGAAGAGAGAGTTTTGCAAAAAATGCAAGTCTTTTTACCGGTCAATCTTTTGGACTATTTTTAGCAGTAATTAGAGTAGACGTTAAAAGCCAATTACCTTTTACAGATTTCTCTTTTTTTGGCCTCCATGAATTACCCTGTAGTTTTTGCAAAATAGTACTAACAATAAGTATGTTATTTTGTCCAAAAGTGAACAAAAATGCATAATCAGAATTCTATCAAACGCCTGATAATTGCGATGAAATTGATTGAAATCACAAGGGCTTGCATGAGTTCATTAATTTTAATATAAATAATCACAAGTGATAATAAATAAGTTTCCAAAAAACATCTTAAGCCTCAAAATAAACTTTTGAAGTCGCGATACACGTTTGAACCGATTACTGCGACAATGACGCTCAACATCTGACTGGATTATGATTATAGCTTTATTCATGGCATGCAGTCGCAGAAACGTGACTAAAAGTAGCCAATTTTTAAATAAGGTCACTGCGTCATTTTGTTCGTAGAGTGGTTTATTTAAAAATTGGAATTTATCGATGGCAACTTGCCTGTAGGCCACACCGTGTGGAATTCGAAGTTGCGATATATGGCGAAAAAACTAAGAATTTTGAGACTTTTCTAACGATGTATAATACTTGATATGTTTACAGAAATATCTAAACCGTAAGATCATTAGATTACTAGGACCACTAGATGGACCACCCGTTATTTCATCTACTATAAAAAAATTTGGATTAAAAAAATGCGATTGATTTTCAAACAAGCCCTCGTTGTATTCACAAAAATGTTTCTATCAGAAGGTGATTTAGTATGACTTCTAAACGTTTGATCCAACGTTGGCTCGTTAGATTAATAGCCTCCTCTGTTATGTCCATCTTGCGCGTATTCCGTACTCCGTAGTACGGTTTTAACGAGATACATTGTGCTCATGCCCGCGGTAACACGGCGATAATACAAGAATGGGCTGGTCGCATCACGACCGACTCGTAGTCGTAATACAACCAACGGACGAGATTCCAATGCACCTCGGAATAGAGATGTGCATCCTCATATTTTTAATTACAAATTACTTCTAATTGACTCGGATCAGATTACAACTCCGTTCTAAATGTACAAGATGATATTTATTATTATTGTAATTCCACAACACTTTGCTCGAAATGTAGGTACTTAACTCTTCTGCTACGAGCACCCTTCGCCTATAGACGACATCCAGAGTGTCAACACTTGCTTCAATTTTTGTTTTATTATATGTTTTTATTTTTACAAATGTTCTGAAATGGACAACAAGTATAACTGTAGGATTAAAAAAATGACTAAAAATAAAATCTTATGATAATCGTCATTTTTGAATAACATGATTTTCTTTTTCAATCTTGCCCTGGTTGTGTTGCGGCGTAGTTCTCTGGCAAGTGAGTTTGCTCAAGGAGGCTTTTGTAATTGTCTGAATGAGTGTTGTTTCAAGATTTATCACTCCGAGTTAAGTTATTGAGAAGTATGATTTGTTAGTATAATTTTTAGTTTCTTAGAAGTGTAATTTCTATTTTTTGAACACATTTCATTGATAATAATTGAAAAATCTTAAAATATGTTATTGTGTCTCGTCAGCAGTGTTCTTACAGCAGTGTTCATTCTGAGGAAAATATTGCCGTAGCGAAAGAGTTAAGATTGAGAGCAGCATCATTTCATTTTTAACTGCCCGAAAGACAAGTTTGTTTTCGCCAGAATTTCCTAATTTTTAGTTTCAAGCCATTCTGAATTGGTTCAAACCAAAATTGGAAAAATAATGTGTATATATATATATATATATATATATATATATATATGCCAAAATTTGACCTTTTGTCCACTTTTCCTCAAGAACAAAAATTGCAAAAATTAGATTGCTTGATGAAACTCGATAAGGACTCATGAAATGTGCAAGATGATTGTAACTATAATAATTTTTCATCATTTTGCTCGAATTGTACCATTTTATTTTTAACTTCTCATGAAGCAAGTTTGTTTTTGCCCAAAAATCCGTTTTCCTAATTTTATGTTTCAAGTCATTCTGAACCGTTGCATATTTGATAAAACTCGATAAGGAATCGCGTTGATTAGTTTTGCAATACGATCGGCAGATCCGTTTCATTATAATTAGCAGATAATTTTTAATTAGCAAAATTTTTCATTCACGTTTCCGCAAAAAACTAAATCGATTTTGAAAATCTTAAAACTCTTCGAAAGATATCTCTGTTGGGAATCGTACTTCAATTTTCGATAAAGATCGGCCGAGTTGTTTCTCCGTGAAATTTGATTACTTTGATGGTTTTAATGAAACTTTGCATAGTGATAGAGTTCTAATCAAGCATATTCAAATATTACAGTTCTACGAAAAGTGGTTTATCATAAAAAAATGAAAGTTATGAATAATGAATTTTGAAAATAATAAATTGAATGTTAAAATAAACTATTGAAATTTTATCATAAAAATTTTCAAAGTTGCTAAATTCCAACTCTCACTGATTAAGTTGATTATTTACACATGTTGAGCAGTCCTTGTAGCAAAATACCACTTACTCAGTTAATACACCTAGTTATGAAAGAAATAGCTTTTGAATGATTATTTTTATATTATGTAAAAAATAAAAAAAACTTTTAGCATTGTGTTAACCAAAATTATTTACTTTAACAATACAAATATTCTCTTATAATATTTTATTCCAATTTCCTATTATACAATCATATATAAAAGATAAAGTACAAGTGCTATCCAATGGCTTGTGTAGTCTAACGATGACCATTTGTTCAATGTATAAGAAAAATCTAAAGCAAAACTAGCATCGTCTACATCATTCATTTCAAAAACCATTCCCAAATAAGCTAAATGTACAATTGCTATAATGCTAAAAAATAAATTTCCTAATATCACATAAATATTTTGTTTTTTATACAAATGATCACAGCCATTACAACTATAAGAATTAAGACATGAATTAAAGATACTTGATAACTTGTTTCTGAATTTAAACTCTATGTATGAAAACAATCCTATTGACAAAAGAACAGCAGCTAATTTAAAATTCAAGCCGTGAAGTAATGATGATATCAAGTAAGTTAAGCAAATAGCAGGAAATACACCAAATATCCTTGCTTCGCGAAATACATCTGCAAACAAAATGCATCTATATAAAAACTGTTCCACCATGGAACTAAATAAGATTTTAAACTTACATGTTTTTAGCCATGTGTGCATTGGGATATTCCAATGAATAACAATTTGTATTAATGATCTTGGCAATTCTATATAAAATGGATTACTTATTGAACCTGTAAACATCTTGTGACTCTGTGAGTAACCTGCTGTAATCATTACCGTTTCAGCTAAGAATGATACAAAATAATTGCTTGTACGAAAGGACAGAGCATCTCTGTATGCAATAAACCATCTATAAGAGATAAACCAATAATCAAAATGACATCGCTTTGTGTATAAACAAAAAAAACTTACTTCCATGATCCTGATGGAATAAAATACATAACCCAACAACTCGACATCAATAGATAAAAAATAGAAGTCAATCCTTTCAAAATTATTTGCGGAAGTAACATCCAGTTCTTAAAAATATATTTTTTCAATAATTACTCTCAATATATAATTTTTATATTTATATAATGCAGCTTACCCATATTGGCTTATAAAATACAGATAAATACTGTTTATAGGTCATCCATGGACCAAATATAGAATTGGCTGGACATAGCAAAAAGCCACAATAAGCAATAAAGTTTGGCTGTGATGATAATCGTCCAATTTTAATATCATATGCCAATGATATGATTTTCATTACTAATATCATATATACACTTCGGACATGCCTCCAAGTATTGGTTTGAACTGTGAATTCGCTGTAAGATATGTTACAAATATATCTATTTATTAGAAATGAAATATAAGCAAAAACAGTTACCATATAATGAGTAATAACATTCCCAAACTGGCAATGAAAGAAGCATGAGAACTCTTGTGTATGTAATGTGTACCATGAACAATTAGATATGATAAAATGCAAAAGGACATTATGTATAGTATGCTAATTTGTAATAAATTGTATATCACAGCCAACCCACATATAATAGAAATACAATGACATAAATTTATGTGTATGAATACTAGAACAAAACAAAAAATTAAAATTAACGTACTAAGTATGTAATAAAGTTTGATTTCTAAGCAATAAGTACCTGTTTGAGTAGTTAATCGAAAAATAAAATTCCACAGTAATAAAGCAGCAAAATGATAACTAATGCCTTTTATTGTGGGTATAACACATGAATCATGTAAATCATAGGATTCATATTCTAACTGCAAATTTCTTATATCTTCATCCTCATCGTAATATGAAAAAGATAAGTCATAATCATCCATTTTAAGAATTACGAAATATTTTCACAGTTACTGCAAATTCAATTAAAACCACAATATTTATAGTGGAATGGACCCATACCCTGCATCATTCTCTAAAGAATAAAAATCAGCAATTATTGTGTATTGAAAATAGAAGAAGAACAAGACGATTAGATTTTTTATATATAAGTGTAATCGGATATTGTACAAGTATTAAGAATATTTGGTCACAATTCTTTTAGCATTTAGAAGTTTTTCTTTTATTGCATTAAACTTTTAATCATTTTATATGTAAAATGCTATCTTACATTAAACTGAAAGCATAAATTTTATTTGTTACAATATGATTATGTTAGATGTATCTTTTATGTTAGTTATTTTTAGATGTATACTTACATTATTTAGCTAATCACAAAGAATGTTAACAAGATATTCCAATATATGTTTCTATTTATTTATTTCTTGATTTATTTTTCATATTTTATAAAAAAATAACCTCCAAAAAACGGTAATTGTGTATGAACGCTAAAAGCCAAACATTTTTGACACAACGTTCATACAGGGTGTTCTAGAACTTAACATTAGCACTTGCCAAGGCACTTTAGTGCATTTGTTTTAAAGCCTTTCAAAGTGACAGATTTTGAAAATTTGAAATTTATAGTTTCATAAATAGTTTCAATTTCAGATAAACCATGGAAATTGTGTCATTATTTTTGATTAGAATGTTCTAAAATAACAAAAATTAACCACGATAAACGAATAAGTGTAAAACCATACCTTAGTTCTTAACTTCCCGTGGGGTAAGTTATAGTAATCGGCCAAAAATGGAAATTAAACATTTTTATATATTTTCAGGCTTCAAAGGTTTTTGAACATTTCGGTATACCTTAGAAAAAATGCATGTATGTGTGTTTGTGATTTCAAAAACACTGATCAATCGATTTGAATAATTCAAGAAATGTTCGATTTGTATTGATGTGGATTAGATCAGCACGTGATTAGTTTTTGGCGAAGGCAGGTCTAGCCGTTCCGAAGATACGGGGCAAAAAGTGCCAAAAAGGGTAACTCAGTTTTTAAGAAAACAGAGCGTCCGATTTTAATAATTCAAAAAACATTTTACTTGTATTAACAAGATGAAGAACTTATTAATTTTTTGGGAAGGCAGGTCCAGCGGTTATGGACTCTCAATAAAAATAAGTTGAAAAAATGCCATTTGGCGATTAAAAATGTTTATTGGACATATGTACATCAAATTATTAGCTAAAGCAGTGCGATTGCTTTGAAAAAAAGTTCAAAATTTCCAAAATATAAAAATAATTTAAAAAAAGTCTTTTTTTTTAAATTTGAAGTTTCTCAAAAATCACATTTTTTCAAAGATTAAAATAAAAATTTTCTTTTTAAAAAAAATAATTTTTGGTACGGGATGCCATACACCACTAGATCAGTTTTAAAATTTAGTTGAATCTTTTTTAAAAATTCTAATTTTTGGTACGGGAAGTTCCAGCAATTTTCCTTGAGGCACGATGCCATGCACCACTAGTGAATTTTCTTACGATAGTTTCAATCAATTTTGAATTCTGTGTCGATAGAAAGTTGAGTTCTGGAACACCCTGTGTATGCTCTCTTTCTTCTACGCTTTTAACAACATGGCCGATTTGACGCACAATGCTGCCAACACAATGCACGTAAATGGTGGTGTTTTGTGATGTTTGTTGATAGTGACAGTAAATAATAATTATTATTATTATTACATAAATGTAAACATAAAATATGGCGTAAAAAATTACAATAATGGAATATATACCATTGGTATCAATGTGATAATTGGGTGCTTATTCTTCGGAGCAGCGATATCTTTAAGTAAGGTTAAGTCTATTTTGTTATATGATTATTTTTTACAATGTTGTGTGAACAATTACATTAGAATGTTATTTAAGATTTTGTCGATAATATGAGCTCATTCATTTTATATCCATTAGTGTATGTTATCCAGAAATTAAACCTTTTGTTCCTTACTTGGCTTTAATAGAGTTACATTATGATGAGGACCAGGAAAAATGAACTCAGATCTGTATAAAAGTGTTTTGTTACATCAGGATATTAATCTTTAATAATAGTGAATAAAAATAGTATGTTCTTTATCAATGCATTCAAATTTCAGCAGCCATATTTTATAAGACAAAATAATTGAAATCTAAATGACATTAATTTCTTCAGATCATAGTACAATTCATTCTATATATTACGCTCAGATTTTAGCTCATAAGATTCTATCACATAACATATTGCCTAATTCCATTACTTAACTGTTATTTTTCCAATATGTTTTTATTTCAGATGGGTTAAATCAGTCACTATCATCATGGAAGCAGAAAAAGAAACTGATAAACATTCTTTGCCCGAAGAACGTAATGAATCGCCTGAAAAAGTATCTTTAGATATACCATTACCATCAGAAGACACAACACAAGATGCTCCATCATCTGCTACTCCTGCAAAGACATCTGTTCTTGGAATACAAAATGCTAAAAAACGCCTGAAGGGGTTTTTTATGGCAAAAAAGGCGCTTGAAGCTAAAAATACAGATAATGAACAAGGAGCTCTTAAGAACAATCCAAGTTTAACGAACAAAAAGAATGTAGAGTGTACACCAGAGAAGAAAAAACTCAAAAAAGGTTTTAGATTAGTTCATATATATATATATATATATATATATATATATATATATATATATATTTATAGTACTATATTTAATAACTTTTATATTAATTTATTCAATTTGAAGGTTTAACTCCTTGCGAGAAAGCGAAAGCCACTATAACAGAAATAGAAGAAATTAAAAGAAAGGAGGCATTACAGACTGTTATACTTTCAAATCCTTATTTGAGGGAGTATGGTTATAAAAAACCCCCAAGAGAACGAAGAGGTAAAATTGAAAATATATTAACAACTTGCTTGTAGATTTCGTATTTTTATTTTTTTGTAGTTTCCGAGATTTGTAAAATTCTTTGAAAACACTTTGACCATATTTTTTTGTGCAGTAGAAATCTTTCTTGCATGCTTTATTTTATTTTATAGATTCATACAGAAGTAGAAGTAGATCCAGGTATGATCGAAAAAGGTCTTCTAGACGAAAGTCACCTGATAAACACAGAGCAAGATGTGATGACTCTAGGAGTAATTACAGATCTCGCCCTCCATCTAAATCTAGTACTTCAACCAGAACATCAGACAGAAGGCAGGAAAGAGACAAATATCGTCATGATAGAAATAATAAACGAGGAAAATATGATACTAGAAATGATAAAAGAACTGAAAGAAAAAATTCTAAGGTGCGTTTACCGAAAAAGGAAATCAAAAAAGAAGTGATTGATAAAAAAATATCACCTAAGCCCACAAAGACGGTTGAGAAAGTTTCTGAAAAATCTGAAAAAAGTTCTGTTGCAGAAAATGGTGATATTGATAAATATAAAATTGAAAAATGTAAAATTGACCCATTACTTTCTAAAGACGAAACGGAAGTGTCAGATACTCAAACTTCTGCTGAAATGAAGAAGAAAAGTGAAGAAACTGTCAAAAAACCTGAAGTAATTGCCCTTGCTAAAATTCCACTAATTTGTGCATATAATTCTGCAACAAGCGATTCAGAAGATTCAAATTTAGACATGAGTAGTACTAAATCAGAGTCTGAGGTTCCAATACAAAAAAATATTGAGAGTTGTAAGGATGAAGATTTTCATTTACCACTGCCTTCTGATGATGCTGCTTCACCACCGTAAGTAAATAGTTCAAACTGTTGTTCATGACATAATGTCTTTGATTCAAATGTGATTTTTTAATTAGGATATCTCAATCTTCAACTGTATCTAGAAAAGAAGAAGTGAGTGATGATTTTGCATTATCTGCATTAATTTCTCATTATAAAAATCCTGACAAAAGTGCATATGACAAATTTCTTAGGCATCCCTGCATTGTAGAGAGGTTAGCTACCGTGAAATATTCTAGTTACAATAATAGATTTTATATTTTAATTGTTATTTAGGTGTACAGTGACAAAGCCAGTTCTTACATATGCTGAAAATCCATTTTATCGAAAGTATGTAATATATTAGATAATTATGTGTATAATTTTTTTTTTTAATTATTTCTTATGTATTTCTGTTCATTTTAGTTTATCTAGAAACTGGTTTCCTCATTACAAAGATAGTTTAGTCACATCTACTTCTAATCCAGCTCCTTTAGACATTAGTTGTGATGTACAGGAACTTCCTATCAAAGATATAGAAAATACTGAGGAAAATGTACAGCCTTTAGAACAGGAATCGGAAAATAATACCATAGATATGGGTGACTATGATAATACTAAAAATGATATCAGTAATAGAGAACTAGCAATAAATTCAGAACCACCGACGTTTATTCAGTCTAATGATTTAAATACTGAATATGAAGAATTTATGCGAGCAGTTACTTGTGATTCTGTGAACACAAATCAACTTGAACCCTCTCAGAATAATCAAGTAAGGAGAGATGAGGTAGAATTGAACTTGTATCCAAATCCTGAAGAGAAATTAGTTGACAGAAAGGCTGCTAAGGGTAAAACAGATATAAGATCAGAGATTTTGGATAGTATATCACAGAAATATCAGTCAAGTTCTTCTAGTGAGTACAGCACATCTTCTGAAAGCTCAGATAGCTCAGATTCTTCATCTAGTTCGGATAGTGATTCTTCATCTGATAGTTCAAGTGATTCAAGTTCAGATGAATCAGATTCTTCAACCACTAGCAGCTCAAACTCAAAAGAAGATGAGCCTCCACCAAAGAAGCAAAAATTACTAAATAAGCCAAATAAATTAGCTAAACCTATTATAGACGTAGTTGATATTGTACCTTTACCAATAATAATCAAACAAGAGAAAGAAGTGGAAGTTAAAACTCAACAACAAGTATTTAATCCTAATATTAAAATTAAACAAGAACCTCCAGACATATGTTCCCAAGGCGATATAACTACACCTAAAGATGATCGTTCATTGGAAGAGAATTATTCCACAAATAAATTCAAAGTACATCATGAACAGAACAAAATACTGAATTATAATGGAGAGTCTTTCAAAGTATTGGATTGGGAGGAATCCTCTCAATCTTTTGAAGCAGCTGAAAATTCTACTAAACAGGCTGATGATATTGGGAATATTCCTTTGCCAAAACTGGAAAATGAAGACTCATATGAAGAAAGAGGAGATGCAATGGAGGCAGATCAGTATAATACAGATAATAGGATAAATAATTTTATTTCATTTAAATTGTCTTCTAATATAAAGCGCAGTATTAATCCAGTGAATTTAAATAAAGAATCTCCAGAGGAAGTACAAGATAAACCACCTGATTTTCTTAAGAAAAAAATTATGGAAACAGAAAATGTTACTGCATTGGACAATGGAGAAAATTGTGACCAACTAGTAAAGAAGGATATAAATGATTCATCTAACAATGAAAATTCTATTGATAGTGATAGAAAAACACGGTCTGATTCAAAATCATGTGATTTGAACACTTCATTTTCTTCAACCAGATCATCAAAGTCATCGGATCGATCCACTAGATCTAATAAGTCATTAGAAAAATCAGAACGGTCTCGCCATAGAAGTCGTAGTCCTAGAAATAATAAATACAATGAAAAATCGCATTATGATAGAAGTTATGACAGAAATGAGTCCCATAAATACAAATCACATCATGTTCGAAGTAGACCTTCAAGAGGTAGCAAATATGATGATGATCGCTATGAGAGAAGATCTTCCAAAAATATACTTAGGGATAAAAGTCCTAGTACAAATTCTATGCCGAGGATTCGTGGAAATGAACATTCAGATCGTGACATATCACACAATGGACAAAATCATTATAGAGATCGTAGTTATAAGGATAGAGACAGGCAGGACAGGCATACACATAGAAGCAGGGAAAGCTTAGAAATTTTAAACAAGTCTAATATTGTTGACACTGATCATGTGAAGAACCATGATTTTGAAATGCACACAGGAAGCAGAAGAGAAAATGATGTAAAGAGGAAAGGTTCTTCAAAATCAGATAAATTAGATTTAGATAATATACCACTGCCCCAACAAAATATGAATATTGCTCATGTTGAAGAGATCTCAGAACCATCTGCAATACCAACATTGATGAGTACAAACAGTGATTATATGGATTCAAATATTAATCATATTACTTCTATCAACCCTATTAACCCAATTTTAACTACAGAAGACAATTATGAATGTGATTTCTACAATGATCATTATGACGAGAGAAGACAATTTGTGCCATCCCCTAAACGAATATCATTGGATGCTCGTATCAATATGGTGTTAGGTTTGACAGACTCATCTGTTAATGACCAGAATGGCCAGCTTTATAATACGACAAATTATAATCAGAATTATTGTGATACAGAGCAATATGGTGGCCCTCCTCTTACAAATGTTGATTCTTATCCACCAAACCACCAATCTGCTGATTACATTCAAACTATTCACACTTTTAACTCTCAATCCGGAAACCAGACATCAAAACGCAGAATTCAAACTGCTAATTTAGTCAATGTTACTTTAACAGATGAGTTGGTTGAGAAGCAAGATAAAGTTCCAGAAAAGGTAAAATCAACATCTAAGGCAAAGTCCCCAGCCAAAGTGAAATCGATAGCAAAAGTGAAGTCATCAGGTACAGCTAAATCACCAGTGAAGATAACTTCTGTGAATGTAGAGGAAACTTCTCAAAATTCAAAGGGGATATTCAATTGCATAAACAAAATAGTAAAACTTGGTGGCCCATTATTAATTTTGCCACCAGATGTTGCTAAAATAGAATCAAGTATGTTAATTTCACATATTTTACCCAAAATTATGTTTCTGTAATGTTAGAAAAGATTCAGTCTAATATTAGGAGTATAATTTTGGGTTTTATAAACTTGTGTTAGTACTATTCTTATACAATTTTTTAAATACACAGGAGAAATATTCGAGCAAATAGAAAGCTTTATACAAGATGAAAATAATCAAAAACGTTTTAAAACACCTATTTCAAATTCTGACATGGTTGATTCTCAAACTAAATACTGCCAGCAGGTAAGCTATCTTAATAATCATATATATATATATATATATATATATATATATATATATATATATATATATATATATATATATATAAATAAAATTGGATTGTCTGTTTGTAATATTGAAATAGCCCTTATTAATTTGTTTTAATGGGTCCAGTCATATATAGAAACCGATTTTGACACATCTTTTAGGCTTTTTTATTTTAGAATAAAAGTATCTTATCTTACCTTATCCTTCTCTGACCCGGGATTTTGTCCGCGAGAAATTTAACATAGAAGTTAATTAGTTTATTTAAGTTTATCTAAGTTGTCTTGAATTGAAATGTGAAATTATTGGAAAATATGAGGATGACAAGGATGTCATCCTAGCAATAATTTATAAGCAGCTTTCTGAGCTTTAAAACATTTGGAACATGAGAGTTGTTTAACGAAACATTCTCTCTCACTCACATTTTCTTCTCACTCACTTCTTCAATATCATGTCTGGACAGGGAAAATCAATTAAATTAATATATAGTAAATTTATTTTTAATATTCAAAAACTTAACAAAAACCACAGTGCTGGAACGAATTAACGACATTTCAATGTTTTTATATGGAAAAGTGCTTCGAGATACGAGCTATTCGACATACGAGCGTGGTTATGGAACGAAATAAACTTGTATGTCGAGATACTACTGTATCTTACTTCTTATTAAAATTTTATTTTAATTTATCTTTATTTTTTAGACCCTATTTTAATTTAAACTAATTTGTTACATTGTTAATATTTTTACCTTCAAGTAACATTTATAAATTGTACATTTATAATTTTTTATAATTACATTTGTGTTCAATATTCAAATTAACATTGAATTTGAATTATTTATTAAAGTTATTTTATTTAACTAGTAGTGCTGATATTTGTTTTTTCTATAAAATAAATATCTATAGATGGAATTTTTCATTTTTAAATCTATACACGTTAGTTATGATTAAGAGAAAGTCTAATATCTATAAAAACATGATAAAGGCCAAATGAGTAATACTTTTATTCCAAGTTATAAATTGTACACCAAATATTGCAATAAAGAAATTTTTTAGTAGAGCTAATACAAAAAAACTGAAAATATATAGCAATTAAAATACTTAACTTCTGCTTAAAATGCTTAACTTTTTTTGTTAAATTCCACGCGGACGAAGTCGCAGGTCAGAAATATTATTATAATAATTTTTATTTATATAATTTATTTTTTGTGCAGGATATTAAAATAAATAGTACCATGAGCAATTCTGTTGGAGCGACAGATTCAAGTTACACCAAAGGAATTTTAGTCAATTCATATTTTAGGTATTTTTTTAAATATTATTTTATGAAGATAATTCTATTGGATAATATTCATATATGTTTGTTTTATTTGAAACAGTAATATTGAAGGCCATAACGAAAAGAAAAATAATTCAAGAAAAGTAAAATTTGCTGACGGTGTTTTGCCTGGGGAAGGTACTTCAACTTCTGGTGGTGATGAAATGATGTCTCCACCGCCACCAGGAGCGCTTGATCTTAAATCTAGAAGAAAACGAAAGAAAGCTAAGAAAATGAGGAAAAGTGATAAAATTGAAGGTTTTTGGAATCTTCCTCCACCTCCGCCTCCTGAAGATGACCCACCAAACTTTCTCTTACAACCATGTGACATTGCTGAAAATGCTGCTTTGGGATTTACTGATATTCCTAAAGGTCAGTATTTATTATCTCAATATTTCTACTACTTCTTTAATTCTTTTTTAAAAGTTATTTAACCATGGACATATTTTTTTCCTAAGATTGATTATTAAGGGTTATTATAATAAAAAATATGTAGTACACGCGTTGTAAAGAAAAACTTGAAGTAATGATAAATGTACAGTTGAATTCCGTTAATTAACAGACGTCATACAACGCATTTTGCGGCAAAAGCCTTTTTTGTGTTAATTTGTCTATATGTACTGACCTACGTTTGTGATTTTTTAGATTGTATTTTTTTTTGTAAAACATATATTTTAGCTTTGCATTGTTTTCTTATTTATTTTTGTATATGTGTAATTCATAATTTGATATCTTTGTTCGCAGCACTTGAGAGGTTTTCTATATTTTTCAATAGTGCCTTGTCGAGAAAGAGTAAGTGTTTTTCGGGAAATGTTATTGGCAGCTAAATAAAGTAACCTTATATATTTTGGACTGCTGCTGGGGCATGACTTACGATATATTGAAATTAAAACAATTGTATATACTAAAAATCAATAGAAACCACGAAATTAAAATATATTTTTTACCTTTTTTTTATGTGATGCTTAGATTAAATGAACAATTTTACTTATAGTGTGGTAATTATTTTATACGTGTTAAACAGTGCAAAAAGAAAAGTGAAAATATCATGTGTTTGATGACAATTTTATCTTATTTAATTTTACTTATGTTGACGGCAATATCTATTCTAAGTTTTATGATTTTAATGCAGGAATATCTTTTTCATAATTCACAGTGATGAATTGGAATTTATTCGTAGATAATTTTTTATATATTTTACAAATAATTTGTACATAGGAATGTTAGTCAAATTTTTTAGCTATTGTGCGTGTGGTGATGCATTTGTATGTAATGTTATTTTATTCTGAATAATGTTGAAAGTGGAACTGTTTTAAATGATTTTATATAGTCTATTTTTGTAATTATATATCTATATATAAATATATGATTTGTAATATGTCAGGGACAGTTAAGAATTTTATTAATCGCTGAACCAATATTAAAAATGCTGTAGTATTGCTTATTTTAGATAACTGATGTATTAATATTTATTAGAAGTTTTACTCCGATAGATTTCTGTATGAATGATACTGTGCTATTATTGTACATATGTGTAATTGTAAATAAGAATTTTTTATTATGAAGTCTATTTATAAATAAATAACTAAACTATATCCGATTTTTTCTTTTGCTAAATCCTATATAAAAGTTTCATTCACAACATGAATTTTTAAATCATATGTGATGAAATAATATCAAAATGCGTTATTTCTTTTGATATAAAGTGTTTATTTATAAGTTAAATAAAAGCACTAATATTTATAACTATAATTATACATTTCTAAAAACTTAACAACAATTGCTATGGCTACAACAGTTAATATACATAACATATTTATTTTATCAGTTTTTACTATAAATACATATACATTTTTGCAGAAAGCTACTAAAATATGATAATATAATATAATTAAAAAAATACAATAAATTTTGTACAGATTTTTCAAAAAGACTATGGTAACCTGATTTAGAATTTATCTGTGAAAGTTGATAAAAAAGCTATATTGCATTTGGCACTTTGTTATGTCTTCTCAAAATAAAACCGTAGACCCATCATTAGTGTTTAAATAATTTTTATATACATATACATATTATTATATTTTATTTTATATACATAAAATATATAATGCATATGCCATATATATATATATATATATATATATATATATATATATATATATATATATGTATATATACCATATATAAAGTATATAATCAAGTCGTACTTAACAAATAAATTTACAAGTTAATATTTACAAGGCTTTTTTTATCTCATGGGCAATTTTACAACTTATATAAGGGAAGACTATTTGCTATGCCTATAAAAATATAGAATAATTCTTAATAATAATCTTAAATTTAGATAAATAATTTCTATATATTTAGTATGGTATTTGAGAATTTAAATTATTCATTCAGACATCATTTCATGCAATCTTCCAAATTCATATAAGCATGACTTCATTGGCTTCTTTTTCAAAGAGAGTCGAATCCTGATATATCACTTCCCTAGAATAGAACGAAACATATTTAGTTTGTACTTGAATAATTCTGGTAAATATTTATCAAGCTTACCCTGTCTGGTTTGTACAGGTGAGTGTGTGGTAGTAAAAATGTTGATCCTAGATCCCTCTCGGCCATCGTATTAGCTTCCTGAATAATTATTTAATAATTAGTCTGCAGAATCATAAGAATATTATTATTATTAGCAGTTCTTACATCATTATTATGATGATGCGATGGAGGTTTAGAATCAAATATACTTCTCATTGTTTTGGTAAGAGGTTGAATGGTTGTTTCATCATAAGACCTTGCTTCAGATACAGTCCTTAAAAACAATAAACAAAAAATATGTTATATGTGTTTAAAAAATATAAATCAATTTATACATACAGTTCTCCTGCAGCTCTCGGCGTCACATCCAGCCAATCACTCATCGGATCAATTAAGTCATCATTACTGAGAAGATAAGTATTATAATTATATTCAATAAGTTTATTTACATGTTAGTATAATTATGATTTATGATTTAGGTGTGGTGCCGATGGCGGTGGATAAATTCGCTGCAAGAATGCATGCTGTTTCGAGAACTAAATTGGTGAGTGCTTAACTACTAGTTATAATATATGATCTTTAGTTTTTTTTGGTTTGTTGCATACCCGTGCGTTTTTTCGATTGTGTTGAACTGCGATGTATCATTTTCTGTAAGAAAGTCTGTCCTTATTTTGTGAATTAATGTTGCATTTTCGCTACGATCTGCTTCCGTGCCCACTACTGTGGCAGACACTTCGAAACCGGCTGAGACTAGGGCCCCTGGTAAATAGATAGGTTAATCAGATATTGTTTTTGCATGAATTCATAAATATAGCCTTAAAATCCTTTTGCTACGAGCGTCGCCTATAGACGACGTCCACATGTCTATCTGTGTGTGCGGATGATGCCGTCTATAGACGACTACCAGTGTATCGACCTTTGCTTCAATATTTATCAATTTGAGTTAATTGATTAAAAATTTTAATTTGTTATTGTAATTTTTGTATAGAAGTGTAATTTTTAAATTTTAAACTTTTTTTATTGATAATGATTCTAAGATATCTTAAAATAAGTATTGTGTCTGGTGCAGCAGGGTCAGTCTTGCGGTAAAAACTGCCGTAGCGAAAGGGTTAATTTTAAAATATATATTAAACATATATTTGGTTGATTGATAACGAGGAGTAGGCTAATAGTGCGTTTTCAATAATCATATATATTTACATTTATTAATTTGTTTATAAGGTTTACATTACCAATTGAAGGTTTATGAGGAATACTTTTCACGGCAGTGGACTGATTCGAATTCTTTCTGCTCTGCGCTGACTGTAAGACACAGATATTTTAGTACACGATGTCGATTATAGCATTGCTTTATTATATATATTTTATTATATACATGATTAGCGGCAACTCCAACGTCCAAATAACTAAGTAGTTTAGCTTCATTGCTAGAAGCGTTACTTTTCCGCCTGTCTAAAGCCTCGATACTTAAAAATGGTGTAGCTGTAGGATGAGGATGATATTTTGCCCGAGGTATCATGACGGTCAAAGATCGATCTTGCTGATCATATGAACCACTCTTTAGTTCATTTTTCAATTGATTTTCGAATTTCTTTGTTGCACTATTTTTGCTTTTTGCTCCTTTCTATAATTGCGAGATAACATATAATACCAAGTATTAATTTTTTTATATTTATTAAATTGTAAGAAGCGCACCTTTGCGACGTAAGGCAGTGTATTTGTGTCCGATTGACTTCCTTCACTGCTCGTGTCATGGATCATTGCACGTTTGTCCATAGTTACATTCAGGCGTTGTCCGCCTGATGATCTCTGTTGTAAGAAGCCCATACTACTTGAACTCCTGGTTTTAGGTTTTTGTTTCCTCTTAAAGCAAGTAAAGATCACGCATATCAGAATCAGCGCGCAGAATATCGCACCCAACGTGACAAGCGCAATCAGTAATACTGAAAATAATAAATTTCTTATTATAAATATACTATCGTAATAAATCTTTCTCGTCATAATTTTGCATCAATTGCTTACCTTTAAGATTTATATGACAGTTTTCTCCTGCATACCATTGGAAGCAGTCACATAACATCTGGTCTTCTCCATTGTTATAGCACGTTCCGTGATAATGGCATTTTTCACATCCAACTTGTTCAGCTGTAAATTGCAAAAGAAATGATTCATAATGTTTTAAATTAAATTGAATTGCAAGAGTAGCAACTTTAAATGATCAAGCAAATTACCCGAACATGTTCTTCCAGGATAAAGTGGATTTGTCGATAAATCAGCAAATCCTTCTTTACAACTGCAAGTATAAGTTCCTTTTAAGTTAAAGCATTGTGCATTTTCCGAACAGTCATGGAATTGTCGATTCAAACATTCGTCGAAATCTAAATGAGAAAAGTTATGTATTGTTTGAGCTATTTTAATAAATAAACGATTGAAGTATGAGAATTCTAACCGTTTGCTACTAAATTATTTTCATATTCTCGTGCAGAGTATATTTCAGTGCCACCAAGACTATAGTTACTTCTCCGTAAATAATTCTTCAAAACCGTTTTTAAATGTTGTTCATCAGTATTTTCAGACAGCTAAAAATAAACGATTAAATTAAACTTTGCAATAAATATATTGTTATTTGAAAACTGTTCTAAATATACTTGTATGAAGAAAGTATTCATAACGCCGTGTCCAGTGCTAGTATTCTGGAAGCCTGTAACTCGCATACCATGATACATGTCTCTTAAGTCTGACTGCATAATCATTCGATGTATGCCTTCGTGTGTGGTTGATGCCAAACCTGCATATGCTTTGGACATGGGATCTGCTAGTGCTGGAGTATACTTCAATTCTTGTTTGCCATTTCGAGCAATACCCATTTGAACAGTATATGTGTAAGTTGCTGTAAAATAAATACGGATTTAATGACTAAACTTCACCCCTTTATTGATGATCTTTTTATAAACTACTTACGTTTACATGGACGATCAGGGAACATTCGAGCAAAACCAGGTCGGCAAGCGCATGTCATCATTCCCTCCAATTTTTGGCAAGATTCGTTGAAAGTAGCTTTGCATTCTGGACGGCATTCATCAGGTCTTGAATTTATATCGTGTTGTAGATGCGGAGGTGTATCAATGAGCACTCCACCTAATAGTACGCGATTCACTTCTTTGGCTATATTATCTGTGTTATCCATCAAATCATGAAGATCGTGCATTTCTGTAGGACTTTTTGCATGATTATTCTTATCCGTTAGTACTACAAAAATACTATCATTATCATTCAAGTCCTCTTCATGTTTGCTATCATTTTTGGAATCCATATCCGCATCATCATCTTTAATAATAAATTCACTTAGATCATTATCTTCAGTGCTTATTAAGATTGTCTTGATATCTGGACGTGGTGTATGATGAGGGAAAGGAAAAGCTGTAGGAATAACTTCTGACTTGACTGTTGTGGTGACGGTTTTTAGTATACTTGTTGGCTGCACAAGAGTTCGTATTTCCGTTACGGTGTCTACTAGAGTGGACGTTTGGGTTTTGGTCAACACCAGTGTTAACGTTG